TGCCAGCCTTGTGGCTCTGACTAAGTACTGCGGCAGGGCCCTTAGTGTTTAGATGACCACAGTCAGGGCTCTGCACAGTCATCTAGGAATGAGTGATATGGTAGCAGCTGCTGTCTAGGAGATGTTCTCTTTGTTGATTGCTACTGAAAAGACACTGTAGATACATGTACCGCATCCTTTTCCTCAGAGGGGTCCTTGTGCTCATTCTAGGATGTTTTATGAAAATGGAAAATTAATATTTCTATTGTAGCAATTGAAGTTTATTATTTCTACAATCATCTTCCACTGGGAACTTTCTGTAGTGTTCTCTTTATTCATCTCCCTTTATTTAAAAGTCTCTTCCAGGTCATCTACAGTATGGGGGTCTCCGCAAACACCAGGGCCAGCAGAGTGACAATTTCATGAGGCAAGAAGGAAATCTGGTTCAACATGACTCAGAGGCTGATGTTTTTCAGAATTCTAGAGTCTGACACTGGACAGTTTATTTTAGGCATTTAAGTACAAAATTGTAAGTTTGAAAAAAGTTTCTTGGTACCAATTATCTCAATCCTGTGTGCACAGTAAAGTTTAAGGCATAACTAAATTGAAAGTGTTTTGCAAAATACATGTGACCTCTGTAGACGAATTTCTAAACAGTCTTATTAAATAAGAAACACAGAGCCAAATACAGAGTTAAAACCAAAGAGATCAGAGCAAGAGCCACCTAGCTTTGGCTTACCACCAGCAGTAGCTTCCCCCCAGAGAGACCTTCTAATGTCTGACTTGTGTTTTTATTGCTTTCCTGTTCTGCTTTCTTATTGGCTGTGAGCCCAGCCACATGACTTCCTTGTCACTGCCTGTCTATACAGACCTCCAGGTCTCTATGGTTGGTACTGGGATTAAAGGTTCATGTCACCACGCTTGGCTGTGTCCTTGACCACACAGAGACTCTGCCTGCTATGTGATTGGATTAAGGGCGTGGGCTACCACCGCCTGACTGCTGTCCCTGGCTTGCTATGACCTCTGATCTCTAGGCAAACTTTATTTATAAACATACAAATAAAATCACATTTCAGCACGATTAAAATATCACCACAGACCTCTTGCATAAAGATGGGTTCTATAGCTTAAGGGCCTAGGGGAGAATCTAATGTGGTCAAGGTGATTACAGAGGTCACCATGCTACAAAGTACATGTGACACTTTCCTTAATGATGGATTCTATTGACTGAGAAACAAGTGTTCAAAATGAAGGAAGGGAGAGTCTGGGTTAAACTTAATAGCCTGGAGGATTTGGCTGTGGCCTGGCCCTACAGATAGCACAAGACATCAGGGTATTAACTACATCCATTCCCAGGCCTCTGGGTGGAAAACAGGAACATAACCCTTCCATTGAAGAGACAACAACCCTGAGTGTTAACATTCTTGGTTTCCTTAGTGCTTATTTGTGAGCTCAAGGACCTAATATCCCGTACACCACAGCACAGCCAAGATAGATTTGTTTTTAAAAAGCAAACGGAACTAAATCCTAAAGCTCTTAGTGGAGTTCCATTACCTTCAAATTAAACAAAACTCTGTGTAGTAGCCCATTCAGTTCTAAGAATCATTCTGTACCATTCTTCTGGTTTACATGTAATCTGGCCCTTACATTTCCCTCCCTTCTTTTCAAGTTATTTCCTTGGCTGCCTCCTTTAGACTTCATTTCCAATGCCATCCCCCTGGAAAGACCTTCAGTACTGGCTTTTGGAACAAAGAACTATAAGCTTCGAGGTGAAAACAGCCTCTCGTTTCTGGAGGTTACAAGTCCAAATTTAAGATGTGAGTAGGATTAGTTCCTTGTTGGAGGCTATCTTAGTTACTTTTCTATTGCTGTAAAAAGACACCAAGGCAGCTTATATAAGAAAGTGTTTATCCATGGACCTAGGGTTGACTCTTTCTACATCAGTTGCTGAATGAAGGTACACAATGTATTAATGTATTCCCTGTGTATCCATGGACCTACTATATTCCAGGTGCTATTCTAATCACTGATGACTTGACAAGGGACAAAGAAAAGTCCCTGTCTCAAGTTCTGTTCCAGTGATCCTATTCCACTCACCACTAGTTTAAGAGACACTCTCAGATTTCCGCTACGTTTCTCTTTGTTGGAAGATTTCCATCTAAATCTGATAGCAGCTTGAAGAATCTAATGTCACTTCCTACCTCTTCCCCTCATAAAACCATATCCTTCTTACATTAACAGCTTTTTCCTCGAAGCTTGCTCTGTACAGTTCACAGGTTTGCACATGTTGTTCTGTTTGCTTGAGCTGCTCATCTGTATCTGAGAACATTCTGGTTAGGCTTCAAGTTCGGCATGCATGTTACTCCCCTACAGGCTGCTTTCTATCATTCCATGGGTGGGATAGCTTCTCTCCTTCTGAATTCTCTAGCATCCTGTACACAGAACTCAGCCTTGTTATGGTGTGCTTGTTAGCACCTTCATCACATTTGCCACGTTCTCAATAGGGTCTTACCAAGTTCTTTCCTTCAAGTCTTTGTTTAGTGAGTATTGACTGCACCATTTCCTAAAATAAATATTTTACATGAAAGGAAGATGTAATACTGTATGATTTGGTGAAATTTTGAAGAATTTTAACGATTTATTTTATGTGTATGAGCGTATTGCCTGAATGGATATATGGGCACCATGTGTGCCTGGTGTACTTGGAGGTCTGAAGATTGTGCCACATATGCTGGAATAGAGTTATGGAGGGTTGTGAGCCACTATGTAGGTGCTGGGAATTGAACCTGGGTACTTTGTAAGAGTAACAAATAGTCCTAACCACTCAGCCATCTCTCCCGTCCTCAATTTTGAATGTTTTAAAATCTATTTATGAGTTAATTTTATTTACTACAGAAGCATGTCTCATTCTAACGTGGAATTCCTTAATTCTCTTTTGAGTCACTTGCCCCTTTCAATGTTAACCACTATCCTGACTTCCAACATACATTTTGACTCCTGACATTAAAAAGGAGGGAAGTGGAGCTAGCTGTGGTGGCACACCTTGTAACCCCAACACTGAGGAGGATTGCCGAGCTCAAGGCCAGCCTGGCTACATAGTGAGTAGCAGGCTAGTGTAAGCCATGGAGCAAATGAACATGAGAAGCAAAATTAAAAGGGGAGCAATTGCCAGATTTCAGTGATATGAATATGTATTTAAGAAAGATAAGAAAAATTTGGGTATGGTGGTACATGTCTGTAATCCCAGCACTCAGGAGCCTGGGGCAAGAGGTTCTCAAGCTTTTGCTCAGTTTGGTCTTCATCCTTAAATAGATGAGAGAGAGAGAGAGAGAGAGAGAGAGAGAGAGAGAGAGAGAGAGAGAGGAGAGAGAGAAAAGGAGGAAAAAAGTGGGAAAGATGGAAAGAATTGGCATCTCTATAGGATGTAGATCTTTACCCAAGAGCTTGGCCTTGAGGTCTAAGTTTCCATCTGTCCTGCGTGTATGATCTAATTTAAAGTTAGTGGGCTCTCCTACTTTACTATGTGTTTGATTAGTATAGTGATATTTTAATCTGAGAGCTGTAGTGGTACTAAGCTTCCTTAGGCCCTGTGAGTTATCAATCATGCTATGCTCTTCTAGCACTATTTAGCCAACAAGTGATGCCAGAATCTTTGAATGAAACTATTACTCATTGTGTAGTCACACACACACACACACACACACACACACACACACACACACACACACACAGGAATACTTGAGATATTTGAAGGGTAGGAATTCTCCACTTGTCTTAGCAGTAGAGCATAAAGTATTTAGCTTCCATAACATTTTGGCAACTTAGAAAATTATTGCCCCTCTTGGGCTTCTTGTCAAAGGGAAGTAAGTTCCCGGGCACTTCAGAGTTATTGGAGAGTGATTGAATCTATTGTCCTACCAAACAGGAAAATACATTTTCCTCAGTAGTATTAGATGCTATTTATATCACTATTAAATTTATAAATACTTCTCATATTTGCTCAGATATTGGATTCCAGAATATAACACATCTGTGAAAAACTTAAGCTGAATGTGGTAGCATATACTTATAATCCCATCAGGCAAGAAGCAAAAACAGGAGACCATGAGTTTGAGACTAGCCCAGGCTATGTAGCAAGACTTGTCTTTCTCACACATACAAAAGTAAAAACATTAAAATAAAAAATGGCCTCATCAAATAAAAGGAAAGTTCATAGTTTAATTTTTATTAGACAAAATTTTACTGTTAGCAAAGGAACCTCATTCTTAGAAACATGATGAGCCATTGCTTTAGAATCACATGCTATTATTTATAAAGTGTTATCTTGTATGAAGGTATTGTGGTAGCTATTGCCATTCTAAATTGCCAAAATGGTGGGGACGCAAAAAACTCTACTTCTCCTGCCTTTCAAGCTGACAGTTTACTACAAGAAGCTGACTCTTACTCTTTTTTTTTTTAAGGACTACTTCTATGATGGATCACTATTTTTGTTTTTCTTTTACTTGCCATTTTTGTCTTCCCATAATATTTCATTTTTATGTTATAAGAAGAAGATATAGCCGGGTGGTGGTGGTGCACGCCTTTAATCCCAGCACTCGGGAGGCAGAGCCAGGCGGATCTCTGTGAGTTCGAGGCCAGCCTGGTCTCCAAAGCGAGTTCCAGGAAAGGCGCAAAGCTACACAGAGAAACCCTGTCTCGAAAAACCAAAAAAAAAAAAAAAAAAAAGAAGAAGATATTATAAAAAATAGTACAGAAGGAAGGGCCTGCTGTGTCTTTCTTGTTTATTATAGAAAAAAGCATGCCAAGAATAGGTATCATGGCGTTGGAGAGGTGGTTCAGTGGTTAAGAGCACTGACTGCTCTTCTAGAGGACCAGGGTTCAAATCTCAGCCAAACATGGTTACTTACAACTCCATGATCTTAAAGTCCAGTTCTGGGGGTCTGATGCCTTCTGGCATCCCTGGACACTGCACTCACATGGTATACAGACATACATTCAGACAAATACTCAGACCCATAAGATAAATCTCAATTTTTTTTTATTTTTTTGAGAATAGGCTGTTGCATAGAAAGGTGTTTCATTTGAAGAATAGCTGAGGAAAGGCCCACCATGCATCCTTGTGGACTCTAGGATATATATTTGTAGTGTGTACTAAGCATACATAAAGTCTTAAGTTTAACTCCAACACCAAAATAAAGGGTGGAAGCAAAAGCTCGGGGATTAGCAGTGAGGCAGAGGGAAGAAGAATTCCTGGTTGTCAGATTCACCCTCTCTTGTCATCGTTTCTCTGCTGTCACATTCCCGTCCAGGAAAGCTGTTGCCCTTAGAACTCTTTCAGTTACATTCAGTCTCCAGTGCTTCCTGTCTTCCTATTGTAGAGACAAATAAACGTAGAGTGTTTAGGCAGGTTTTCAATAGCTTTGACACAGTAAAGTGGGAATAAACAGAGAGTCATACCCAACAACACTTCATTCATAAGACATGGCATTGCTCTCCATTCTTATTTTAGCTCTGAGAATGCCAGAGCTTGCAGTTTAGGACTGACTCGAGATACACAGACTTCTCTAGCGACAGTTACGGGGCCTGCCTGTATTCCTTGTTCATTCTCAGTTTTGGGTCCTTCTTTGAGGTCTTGTGCCCTTTCTACTTGGAGTTGTCCTTCCCTTCAGGAATCAAATGTGCTTGGGAGCATTGTCACACCCCATTTGAGAAGCTAACAGAATGCAATGCCACAGTCTCTGAACTCACCCACAACACACACATCTAAGTGGGGAGAGGAGGTGTTCATTTCTTTATCTGGGTTAGGGTTGCACAGAAGAGAGCTCTCCCTCAAGGTGTATTGACTCAGTCTTTCTTTTTTGTCATGTTTATCTCTGAGGATACCTTTTATATCTTTAATAAAATTTCTGCTAGCTATTATTATGTATCTGAGTGCCTAAGTAAGACCACCATATAGCGAGTTCCTAAAATGAAATGCTGTTGAGAAAGAGTGTGGTTTTCTTTTTTAAATCAGTTGACCTAATTGAGTTAAACATAGCACTGCAGTAATGATTATCATCAAGGTCAGCAAAAGAACCAACATTCCATGTATTTTTGGACTGTAACTTAGTAAATGGCTTATGGTTGTGTCCACAGATTTTAGAGGAAGATTTTTGAGTGGCTCCTGGTGAGGGGTGAAGCCTGTTGTCAGTTCTATCTATAATTAACTGTATGTTATGAAAAAAACACAAAGAGTTTAGGAAGCAGTGTTTGTCAAAGCATGGAAAAAGAATTGTGTTATTTAAGAAATTATGTGACCTCTCTGAGGGTCATCATCCTATGATAAGACATTAATGTCCACAGTTGATGGAGATGGCCAGGTGATTGATAGCATGATAGCTGTGTTTTTTCTATCCTTACTGCTCCCAAATTGTCACCCAACTATGCTTAATAGATATAATATTATTTCTGGATGTATGCTTTATTCTCGGGCAGTTAAAAATGTAAACGTATCTTTGCTATGGTAGATTTTATTTAGAGGATGACCTTGTTCCCTCTTGCCCTCCCTGCTCTCAGATCCTTGCCACAGAAGAAGCAGGCAGCATCTTCTGAATTTTTCTTTTTTATTGTATTTTAGAAAGAACTGCTGCGTGTGACCTGAAATGTGCTTCCCCTTCCAGGTCATGCCTGCGAGGCTTTCACGGCATATAACCTACTTTTGTTATGTCCCTAAGGAAAGTTGTAGAAATGATTCGAAGTTCCATCTCTGTTGACCCTGGCCGAGGCTTTTGAGCCCTTTGAGCTCAGCTTGCTTAGAGCAGTGCTGGTCAGATTGCTTCTGTGGGTTTTTCATGCTGTGATTTCTCAAGTCTCCACTGCAAGCCTTGGAAAGTGACATGTGGATCTCAGTCTGGACAGCAGAGGGCGCACTGTCCCGGTGTGTGTGTGTGTGTGTGTGTGTGTGTGTGTGTGTGTGTGTGTGTGTGTGTGTGTGTGTGTGTGTGTGTGTGTGTGTGTGTGTGTGTAAGATGCTGGGAATTCAAAGGACATTTCATGGTGTATTTCTGGTTTAATACTTATGGAAACCCTCAAAAAAAAAAAAAAGCTGTTGACACTGTAAGAATAGTTCTTGTAATTCATTATCTCTTGCCCATCTTCAGTATTCCCCTCTTAGGATTAGTGTGCTTCAGACCAGGCCTGGCATCATTAATACCGTCCCTTCAAATCATGGAGATATTTAGCCTCCATCATCCTAAAGGCTCCGGTATAGCTTTTTCTTGTAGTTGTATGTGAATGTTATCATCTTAAGAGACTTGATAGTTATATTTCAGTGGTAGCTCACAATTTCAAAAGGTAAAAAAATAAAACTTTAAAAATATATCCAAAGTTTCAAAATGTTTATTGTCTTTTTTATTTTTGACATGGTTTAGCTATCTTGCAAAGTCCAAGTACCCTAAGTATGTTATTTCTTTCAGCGTTATTTCTTTCACTTCGCTTATTTGTGCTAGAGTAACTCCAAGATAATAGTGTTACATTCTATCTCTCAAATCTTTCAGGGTACAGCTGTAAAAAATAAAAACATTTTCTTATGCATCCAGAATAATGTGGTGACTTCTGTCAAGTATTTAGTATCATTTAATTCCTTGTTCATATTAAGATCAACACAATCACTCCAGTTTATCACTTGCATCTTATTTGTTCAAACTAGGATCCAATCCTGGATGGCATTTTCTCTGGTAATTATGTTCCTTCAAACTCACTTAATCTAAAGCAATCCTCCGGCCATCCATTGCCCTGTAAAATGCCTGCCTGACCATTCGTGATGTCAATATTAATCTTTAGATTAAGGTGAGGATAGTCCCAGTGACAAGAGTGTTGTTTGCAACATCATTGTTAACCTCATATGAAAATTAGTTTTCTGTTGTCTTTTAAAATGCCATTAATAACTCTTGCCTGAATCAGTAACTTTGCAGAACTATCATGTCTCTACGTCATCTTTCTGCATTAACTGACTTTTAGTTAACAAGAAAATGCCTTTCAGCTGGATCTCAAGCAGGCATTTCCTCCACTGAGGCTCCTTCCTCTGATGACTCCAGCTTGTGTCAAGTTGACACACAAAACCACCCAATACATATTCTAGTGATTTTCATGAATTGAATGTTTCAATCAATTACAGTTTTTATTCTTTTTGTGGTCAATTTGTTTTATGCTAAGCTTATTAAAATGTGAGCTAATAATAAATAGTTCTTTGTCTTTGGCTCCTTCATCCATTAATGCAACTCTGTTGTTTTTAAGCATGCCTTTGCTTTTTTGTGCAGCAGGATGCATAGGCCTATCTTGTAATTTCTTTGTTCCAAATGTCAGTCAGTCACTTTGATAACAAGCCTTAGTTCCTTTATTGGTTCTTTTTCTTAGAAGTCGTGTTAGACATCGAAATCTCAACATTTAGAATGTCTGTTAGTATTGGAATCACACAGTTCATAGATCTTTTCAGTGGTCTAATTAGTTTTTGACTTTTATGTTAAAAGTTTGAATGATGAAAATTCAGATAGTAAGGCATTTTGAAAACTAATGGAATAGATTGACTATTTGAAAAGTACTAAGACATTTGATTATGTCCCCACCACCCTAAAAAGGTAAGTATGGTAGGTGATACTTAATGTTCAATTTATCCACTCTACAATATATACATATTTCAGAATATCATATTGTAACACTATAAGTATGTGAAGTTTTTATTTCTCCATTAAAATTAATCAGATAAAATAAATTAAAATTTTCAATTTTGACTTTATTATGTTTTTAACTAACTACTTGATTTTGTAATATCTTTTCTTTTAACTGAAAATCTTGACCACCATAACAAATACTGTTTTATCCTAGTATATAAGCAAAGTAATTTCAAATGACATTAGTACTGATAAGACCAAATGAACTTTAAATTTTCTTTTGATCATTTTTGTAGTATAGGTTGATTTCAATGGAAGAATGAGTCATCTTAATGTTAATTTCAATTACTTTTCCTTGAAATATGTCTTGCTTGTTTTGTCTTTATTATAGGTTGACCACTTTGGATTTTCTGACACAAGAACTTTTAAGCAGCGGTACCTCAAAGCTGATAAACATTGGAAAAGAGATGGTGGATCAATACTTTTCTACACTGGTAATGAAGGGGACATTGTCTGGTTTTGCAATAATACGGTATGTACACATGAGTGAAACAGTATCTTTTATAGTGATAAATGGGAGAAAATGTTTAGCAGTGTAGATGACCAAGAATTACAGTTTTTAACTGTAATGATCTTTAAAAATAAAAAGAGTGAGCAAGATGGTTCAACTGGCAAAGGCTTATGGCCTGACTTTATCCCTGAGACCCACATGATGGAAGGAGAAAACCAACTCCTGTAGGTTCTTCTTTGATGTCCTTAGGTGTGATATGGCATATGCCCTCCTCCAAATAAGTAAATAAGTGTAATAAAAAATAAAATAAAATAAAATGAACTCAATAGTAATAGAAAGATAGCAAAGTTCACCAGTGAATGAAAAATGTCAGTGAGACAGGGCCATTGGCTAGGAATTCAGAGCCAGCCTGTACTGCCATATAGTTCAAGGCCAGACTGAGCTACACGATGCCCTGTCTCCACACAGACAGACAGACAAATAGACAAAACCACTTTTTGGGGAAAATTTAATTATAAGGTCAGCAGGCATGAGAACATTATTGTGTATAGTTGGTTTGACTATGGCCTATAGAAGGTAAATGTAAGGGTAGGAATTTTTGTATGTTTATTTAATACTGTATTTTTAAAGTGAAGAACTGTATTGTATATATAGTAGATGTTCAATAAATATCTATTAGTAAGTAAGACTGAAACAAAACCAATGCAAATAAAAAAATTATAAAAGTTTGACTGTCAAGTTGGAAGGGTAGAGGTAAAGGAGTTGCATTTTCATTTAGTTTCTTGTTCTACTGGTTTTTAATTTGTAAGAATTAATATAGTATAATCTATTAGCTTGCTTCACTAACTATATTTTCCATCACTTTTTAACAATATGTCTATTAACAAAACTTAACTTGGAAGGAACATAGAACTAAGAAAGTCTCCTTTCCGTTATGCCGGTGCTGTGACTAGAAAATGTCAAATTTCTACCAAGAAGCTAGTCTGTGAACTCCTGTCAAGTAGGGAATAATGCTAACTCTGGTGTCAGAGTCTGGCATGGCACCACACTCAGGGTATCTTGGTAAATGTTTACTGAACTGAGTTGACAGCAAGGCATGAATCTAATTATTCTGTTACTGCATTAGTCATCTGTGATTCTTTTCTTTAGGCTGTCAAGAATTGAATCCCCAGGACATGGGGGTGCACAACTCTACATAGCACTCAGGAGGGTTGGGTAGAAGACTGTTAATTTGAGTCTATCCTGGTCTGGCTTCTATAGTGACACACAGGCTGGAAAGCCAAACAACCAGAAGAAAAAAAAGATAAAAAATAATTTACATATACTGAAAATAAAATAGCTCCTGAGAAATGATGTCATGGGAACCAGGTGTCCAGATTCCTGGGGCTATTTTGTGTAAATGGTACTGCCTTGTCTCTTTCCCTTTTGTTTTGGTTTTCTTTTGTCTGAGGAAGGGTCTCTCTAAGTAGCCTTGGCTGTCCTAGAACATGCTATATAGACCATGCTGACCTTGAACCCAGAGATCTACCTGCCTCTACCTCTGCCTTCTGAGTGTTAGGATTAAAGGTTTGTACCACACACATTCCTCATTTCTTTAACTCTTCTTCTGTGCCAAACCCACAGGCAACTTTTCCTGGCCAGTTCCTCTATGTTTTAATACAAGCAGAGAGATGTTCAGTCATCAGACCCCAGTGTTCCTTGGGCTTCTCAGCCCCGCTGAACACTTGCTGGGTATCCTTGTTCTCAGGTGGAAAGGAAGAGATATGTAGGAGAGGAACAGTCCTAGCTAAGAATCAGAAGCATATCCTAGAAGGGCAGATCCTAGGCCTCCCCATCCTTGGCATCTTCCTACACACTCACGTATTTCAACTTCACATTCACTTCTGAACATCAATGTTTTGAGAAGCAGTGAAGACCAAGCAGATTGATGATGTTTCAGTTCTGACCGCCAGTTTGCTCTTTCACTTGAGCAAGCTTTATCTCCAGCGTCAGCTCTCTCCTTTGTTCAGTGGTTATAGTAAGAATACCTAACTCCTAGAGTTGTAAAGACCAAATAATAAAGAAGATTAAGGAGCTTGCTGGTACAGATTATCGATACATGACATAGATAGACCTCTCTTGAAAGATAAAATTACCCTTGAAATGGATGTAAGCAAATAATCGCTAATTGCATTATTAAGCTGCTTCCTGTCAGAGCCTGAGGTCAGCTCCACAGAGGTCTGTTCTTACTCTTATGACTCTTGCAGTCTGGTGGTGTAAGATGTGTGTGTGTGTGTGTGTGTGTGTGTGTGTGTGTGTGTGTGTGTGTGTATGTGTGTGTGAGTTCCTGTTGCAGCAGGTAGAAGACTTCTTTGCAGCACTCTGGTGTTGAGGGGAGATGGACAGCTCTGCTGGGCTGGGGCATGCAGAGGAGGATGTGCTGAGCTGGGTGTGGCTGGACCTGGGATATGTGGCTGGAGTGAGCAGCTCTGTGAAAGAGAAGTGTGGTCTTGAAAAGCACAGGTATCAGGCTAGCATGTCCATTATCCCCACAGGTAGCTCTTTTAATTCCTTAGAGATTGCTCTAAACAACTAAAGCCATTTTGAGGTTCCTATGTCTTGTTAGGGAATAGTAACTTGTTAAACACAAACAGCATTCATCAAGAATGCCATGGCTTTAATCCATGCTAAACTGATGTTGGTTATTTTTGCTCTTTTGCTCTTTTGAGGGGCCCGCCACCCAGCTCCCAAATAAATCATACACAGAGGTTTATTCTTTTTTTTCATGTGTTTTTTCCTTTTTTAAAATTAATATACTTTTTTTTAGAGCTTTTAATTTTACATAATAATCTCACTTCTTCTTCCCTCCCTCCCTTCTCCCCCCGCCCCTCCACTCCTCAGAGACTGTAAGGGCTCCTTTGGGGAGTCAACAAAGTCTGGCATACTAAGTTGAGGCAGGACCAAGCCCCTCCCCTCTGTGTCAAGGCTGAGCAAGGTGTCCCACCCTAGGGAATGTGTTCCAAAAAGCCATTTCATGCACCAGGTTAAGTCCTGGTCTCATTGCCAGAGGCTCCCAAACAGATCTAGACACATAACTGTCACCCACATTCAGAGGGCCTAGTTCTGTCCCATGCATGTTCCCCAGCTGACCGGCCAGAGTCCGTGAGCTCCCATCAGCTTGGTCAGCTCTCTCTGTGGTTTTCTGCATCATGATCTTGACCTCGCTTGCTCCTGTGATCCCTCCTCCCCCTCTTCAAGTGAAGTCTAGGAGCTCAGTGTGGTGATATATTGTGTACCCTAATAAACTTGCCTGAGGATCAGAGGACAAAGCTAGCCATTAGATTAGACATAGATGTCAGGAAGTGGTGGTACACACCTTTAATCCCAGCACTTGAGATCTCATGCTTTTGCTTGGGAAGTACACACACCTTTAATCCCAGGAAGTAATTTGGCAGGGCAGAGAAAGGTATATAAGGCGTGAGGAAACGGGAACTCACTCTGTTGAGGCTGAGGATTTCGTAGAGGTAAAAGCTAGTGGCTGGTTGTTCTGCTTCTCTGATTTTTCAGCTTTGACCCTGATATCTGGCTCTTTTTTTTTTTATTAAAAGACCATCTAAGATTCGAACAGCAGCTCAGCCCAGTGCTTGGTTGTGGATCACTGCGTCTATTTCCATCAGTTACTGGATGTAGGCTCTGTAATGACAATTAGGGTAGTCACTAATCTAACTATAGGGGAAGGTAAGTTCAGACACCCTCTCCATTACTACTAGCAGTCTTAACTGGTGCCATCCTTGTGGATTCCTGGGGACTTCCCTAGCACCAGGTCTCTCCCTAACCCCTTAATGGTTCCCTTTACCAAGATATCTCTTTCACTGCTCTCTCTCCCTCTCCGTCCCTCCCTCCACTCGACCATCTCAGCCCCTTCTGTTCCCATCCCCATCCCTTTCCTTCTACTAACCCCTTCCAGTTTACCCAGGAGACCTTAACTATTTTCCCTTCCTGGGGCCCTCTATGTGTGTCCTTAGGGTCCTCCTCTTACCTAGCTTCTTTGGGGTTGCGGACTGTAGCCTGGTTATCCTTTGCTTTGCATCTAATATCCATTTAAGAGTGAGTACATATTATGTTTGTCTTTCTGGGTCTGGGTTACCTCATACAGGATGATTCTTTCTAGTTCCATCCATTCAGAGGCTTATTCTTAATTATAAATGCCCAGCCTTAGCTTGGCTTGTTTCTAGCCAGCTTTTCTTACCTTAAATTATCCCATTTATCTTTGGCTCTGGGTTTTTTCCTTTTCTTATTTCTGTAATCTTACTTTCACTGTTATTCTGTGGCTGGCTGGGTGGCTGACCCCTTCTTTTCTTGCTCCTTCTCTGGCTACTTCTTCCTCCCAGATTTCTCCTTCTGTTTATTCTCTCTGCCTTCCAGGCCTGCCTATCCTTTCTCCTGCCTTGATATTGGCCATTCAGCTCTTTATTAGACCATCAGGTGTTTTAGAGAGGCACAGTAACACAGTGTCACAGAGTTAAACAAATGCAACATAAACAAAAACAACACACCTTAAAATAATATTCTACAACACTAAACTGTCTAATCAATTGATGCTGTCTGCCTGGGATGCTTCCTTAGGAAGGATTCAGAGCCGGGCGGTGGTGGCGCACGCCTTTAATCCCAGCACTCGGGAGGCAGAGGCAGGAGGATCTCTGTGAGTTCGAGGCCAGCCTGGTCTACAAAGTGAGTTCCAGGAAAGGCGCAAAACTACAGAGAAACCCTGTCTCGAAAAACCAAACAAAAAAAAAAAAAAAAAAAAAAAAGGAAGGATTCAGAGGTCACCATCCAGTCAAAGAGAAAGAGGCAGATGATTAGTGAGAAGCCATCAGTGTGGGGGGAATAAGGGAGTCTAGTGGCCTTTGGTGACTGCTCTGCATTACAGCCTTTATTCAGTCTTGGCTCTGCCACCTGTGTGAACACTGAGCCTTGGGTCTCAGTGTCCTTGTCTGTAAAACCACAGTGCCTGATTCTTGTTTATTGTGCTAATTAGGTTAATTACTACATGCAGTGGTTAGAACAGTATCTGACACATTGTAAGCAGGAATTAATAACAACTACTGTTAGCTAATTTTCTAATATATAAGATTAAGATCCCAGGGGAGTTTAATATGCTTATTTGTCTGTTAATTACTTTATGTTGTCTGTGTATGTCTTTGTGGGGGGGCAGCTTAGATATCTCACCTCCTTCCTGGAATAGTAAGCACAATGGAGTTTGAAGACTGACATATAGTGTTGACTCAGGTTCAGAGGTTCAGGATAAGAAAACATGAAGTGCTTAGTATATGAATAATTTGATCTTATTTTTTTCCTCTCTAGTACAGTGTGATACAGCTATTGTAGATTTTTCTGTGGAACACACATAAATTATACAGTTTTTTGGAGCTCTTCCTGGTCTGGTTTAGTATCTATTTCATATGGTTTGCAAAGGTTTGATGCGATGTTTCATGGTCTAATTTTCCTTGTGAATTTGTGAACTCTTCCCAGGGGTTCATGTGGGATGTGGCTGAGGACATGAAAGCTATGCTGGTGTTTGCTGAACACCGCTACTATGGGGAGTCCCTTCCCTTCGGTGAGGACACATTCAAGGTAAGTAGCTTAAAGACTTTGGGCACTCTTCTGGGTAGTTATTTGTTTAAGTTTGGAACATTTATACTCACACAGTGTGAGATCACTTTAACTTGAACTGCCTGAAAACTCAATAATTTGTACTTTATCTTTCCTTCATATATATAATTTGGGCGAAATGAAAAATTTTCTTTCTTTTTTCCTTTTTGTGCTAAGGATGAAACCCAAGGCAGAGTGCAGAGCAAACATTCCCACCAAGCCCTGTTCTCAGTCCTACCCTAAGGCCTTTAAAGTCATGCCTTTTTAATTGCTGTCACTTTTTTTAAGCTTAAAATTATTCTATGCATATAACTGTTTTGCCTGCCTACGTCTGTGCACCCTGTGGGAGCCTGGTGCCAGGGAAATTCAGGAGAGGGCGCTGCATCCCCTGGAACTGCAGTCACACACGGTTGTGAGCCGCAGTGTGGGTGCTGGGAACCTAACCCAGATCCTCCGCAATAGCAGGAAGTGCTCTTAACTGCTGAGGTGTCTCTCCAGCTCCCGGTCAGTTGTTTTTTCTTTGTTTTGTCTTGCTTGTGGTTCTGGGGACCTGAGCAGGCCAAACATGTCCAGTGTAAGGGTTCTACCATCAAGGAATATGTACAACCCCTGTTAGTTTATGTTCGGTCATCCAGGCTGGCTTCAGCCAGGTCCGTCTTACTCTGTTGCTGCACACAGTGCAGGGCATTTTCTTTACCTCAGTAATTCTATTCTGTAAATTAGGCACTAAATTACTGTTCCTGCCTGAGGAATAAATAAGTATGCAAACATATGAAAAGGATTTTTCAGTAACATATAAGCAGTAGATAAGAATAAGTGAGCTCTGTAAGGTCATGTTACCCTTGGCTTTCCCATTAGCTTCTTCCTTCTTACAAGAAGTCCCAGCCTCGGCCTTTGGCTGGCTGTATACTCAGTGAACCAGGATACTTTTTCCTTCTAGTTAGGGTAATTTCCCACAAACCCTGTTACTAATATTTTTCTTAGAAAGCTCAGTTTTTTAAAGTTAGCATTATATTAACCAAGGACCTTATGTACTGATTGTTTTCCAAATTACATTAAAATATGACAATAAATGTTACATTAAGATGCGTGTGTAGTACCTAATGTCTTTGATCTCATTCAATAGAGTGATACCATCCTTTCGTGAATTACCATCTAAAATAATTTGGGAATAGCCATATTTTAGGCTGTTTTGAAAGGAGCTTTTAAAATTTTATATTCAGTTAGCTGAGTTTTTTATGTTATGATGAGTAGAAAATAAGTTTAAAATGCACATATGCTATAAGTCAATGGCAGAGAGGTTTGTTGTAATTGTTGGGCTGAATGACAAATTTTGTTCTTTAGTTTAGTATCTTACAAACACATGTGACTAGAGAAGTGAACAGGACCCCAAACCATTGGGAAACAGTCGAGTTATTGTACCTTGCATTTTAACCTTCTGTAGCTTGCTACAATCAATACTCTACTAGCAAAGTGGACCCACACCTGTTTTTGATATACTTTTTTCTATTTCTATGCTCACAAAAGTTGTCGAAAGCATAAGGGATGTTATGCATGCTAGTTGAGAATTGAAAACAGCTGTACTCAACTATATATAATGCCATATAAAATGGAAGTAAAGGATAGCAGTGAGAGAGGAGAGGAGAGAAGCCTCATACATTTTGGATGAGGGTGAAGGTTAGTGGAGTAGGTGGAGCGTACAGGAGAAAAGGAATGCTAGGGACCTTGTGACCCAGTAGTATATTAATTAAGGGGTAAGGGTAGTGAGACCTAGAAGGAAGGTCAAGTAGGAGAGTCTGGACAAAGGTATATAGCTGTATCAGTTGTCTAGTGCCATGTATATGAAGCTGTCCTGACTTAAAAGAGTAGTAAACTTACTGTTTGTGCTTGGTTGTTTAGAGGTATGGTCTAGCTATGTAGTGCAGACTGGTCTTGAACTCATAATCCTCTTGCTCTGTCTTCTATTCCAGTGCTGGAATTACAAACATGAGCAAACACACTAGAATGGTGGAAAGCATTCATTACTTCACAGTTCCTGTGAATGTGGAATTAGGAATAGCTTAGTTGGTTCTGCTTCAGAATCTCTCTAGGCTAAAATGTCTGAACAAGTGGTAGCCATCGGAAGGCTTGTATCCATTCATAGCAGGTCATCAGAGAAATGATAAATTGATGTGGACACTGGCAAGAGGCCAATGAGCCTCACCTCCTATAGAGTCCAATGTGCCTATGTGATGAGCATTGTGATGTAGCAGCTAACTTTCCTCAACACTGCAAACCAAGGTGGAAGCTGACGTGAACAGGTCATTAGAAGGTAGCCATGTATCATAGTGTCTACCACATTTTATTCACTAGAACAGAGTCACTAAGTGTAGCCCAAGTCCAAAGGAGTGAACTAGGTTATATATAAAGAAAGGAGTGTGAAAAGTTTATAGATGCATTTAAACAACACCTTTTAGCCTTCTGAGTTGAACACTTCTTCATCTTGCAGAGGAAAGTGGACCCTCACAGAGAGCTAAATCTTCATGGAACTTGCTGAGGAGATTTCCTTTTACTCGAGGATCATTGTTTTCCATTGATACATTGTTTCCCTTCTAGTTTAATAGCTGTCTGTGATTGGTAGCAGAGTTTCTTCCCATTGTTGCTGTAGCAAATATATAATCTTTCTAGTAAGGAGGAGCTAAGGGCTCAAGAAGCCTCCCTTTATGTATACCCTGTGGTTGTGGACTCAAGAAGCCTTTGTTTTTTTTTGTTGTTGTTGTTTGTTTGTTTTTGTATACAGCATGTATGACCAGAAGAGGGCACCAGATCTCATTACAGATGGTTGTGAGCCACCATGTGGTTGCTGGGAATTGAACTTGGGACCTCTGGAAGAGCAGTCAGTGCTCTTAACCTCTGAGCCATCTCTCCAGCCTTTCTTTACAGACCCTGTGGTTGCCTATATCCTTGCTCTAAACCATCACTGTTTGTTCTGGAGGATGCTGAGCTGCTGGGGGCAAGGGGACCACCACCCACTTAGGGAAATGGAGGCAGTTTGGGCCTGACAAATGCCACTATATGGTCCTTGGAAATACCTGCCTAGGATCTCATCCTTAGGATGGTTCCTTTTATAAATCTTCCCCAGATGTATTATCTTGATTACAAATAAGGAGCTTTGTCAATTAAAAATAACTGTATCATATATATAGTTTACATTTCTCAACAAAAATCAGCGCTGTGGTAGGAGACTCAAACTGGCTAAATGTGTAAGTAGGCCATCGTGAGATCTCTGTCCTTTAGGTTTAAAAGTGTGCTAGGCCTTGCTTCCTGGATTGCATTTGAAAAAAAACTTTAAAAGCAATGAAATTACATTTGATTAGAAAATATATCATGTTCTTTCTCAAACTTAGTTACTTCTCATGGATTTCTTTGATGTGGATGATGTGGAATTTTACCTCAATTGTCTGGATATCTATTTCAAGTAATGAAAACTTTTCTGAATCTGTGCTGTGCCTTGGCTGCCATTATATGCACATTTATACCTGTTCTCTTTGTCTTTGTTCTTAAAATAAATAAATATACACATATACAGGATTCCCAACACTTGAATTTTCTGACATCAGAACAAGCTCTGGCTGATTTTGCAGAGTTAATCAGACACTTGAAAGGAACAATCCCCGGAGCTGAAGGTCAACCTGTCATTGCCATCGGGGGCTCTTATGGTGGCATGCTTGCAGCCTGGTTCAGGATGAAATATCCTCACATAGTAGTTGGGTAAGTGCATTTATGCTTGACACAGCTAACAATTTTGGGTAAAGCATGCTCCATGCTGAGTTATATGGACATTTTTGGTTTCTCTCTCACAAACAATGGTATTATGAGTTTGGTTCCTAGCACCCATGTCAGGTGCCTGTAATTCCAATTTTGGGTGGTCTGACCTTTTCTCCAACCTCCACAGAGACTTGTACACACGTGACATACATACACACACACACACACACACACACCACATTCATGTGCACACACACACATTAAAAACACAAAACAAGCAAACAATAAACGAGTGGATGATTCTATTTCTGTCTTTCTCTTCTCACTTCCTTTATCATTCAGAGCTCTTGCAGCTTCTGCCCCTATCTGGCAGTTTGAGGATTTGACTCCCTGTGGTATGTTTATGAAGATTGTAACTGAAGATTTTAGGAAAAGTGGTCCACATTGTTCCGAGAGTATCCATGCATCCTGGAATGCCATTAACCGACTCTCAAGAACAGGTAAGCTTTCGCGAAGAGAATGAATTGCAATTCTTTAACCTTTAACTTACTAAAAATCCATATTGCCACCGGGTAGTGGGGACACAAACCTTTAATCTCAGCACTTGGGAGGCAGAGGCAGGCAGATCTCTGAGTTCGAGGCCAGCCTGGTCTACAGAGTGAGTTCCAGGACATCCAGGGCTATATAGAGAAACCCTGTCTCGGACCCTTGCCCACCGGGGGAAAAAAAAATTAACACTGTCATTTTAAAAAGAAACTTTGTAAATAATCATGTGTTTTTGTTGTGCTTTCTGTTGTATGTGTATGCATGTTTGTGTATTGCTTTGTATGTGCCTGTATGTCATCACTGTTGTATATGTGCATCTGTGCATGTGTGTGGAGGTGAGAGGTTGCCTTTGGTGCCTTTCTTCAAGGCCCCTTCCCTTTCTTTCTGAGACATGTTCTCTCACTGAACCTGAGGCTCGTCAATAGAACAGGCTGGCTGGCCAATGAGCTTCAGGGATCTGCTTGTCCTTTCCCCTCCCGACCTGAACTGGGGTTCCAGGCATACACCACCACTTCTGGGTTTGTATATGGCTTATAGGAATTCAAACTCAGGCCTTTAGGTTTGCATAGCTGGCACTTTACCTACTGAGGGCTCTCTCTAGCCTAACACTGCCACATATTAACACACACACACACACACACACACACACACACACGCACGCACACACACACACACACACACACACACACACACACACACATTATACATATAGAGAATCATAGCAATCAAAATATATGAATGAATAAAATTTTAACTTGGTATCAGTAGTATCCAGACCCAGAAAAGACAAAGCCAGCACCTCACAAAGCCCTGCTGCTCTCCTCAGCACTTCCTCACGCCTACACAGCGAATCTCACTCTGAACTGAAGGCCCATTTTCTGATTCTTGCATCTTAGTAATGAGAGTTGCATAGTATGTGGTATTTTGTTTATTTGTTTTTTGTTTGCTGTCTTGTGCTCAACAGTCTAATTCAATGGTTCTCAACCTGTGGGTTGTGACCCTTTTGGTGATCACATATCAGATGTCCTGCACATCAGTTATTTACGTTATGACTCATACTGGTAGCAAAATTACAGTTATGAAGTAGCAACAAAATAAATTAATGGTTGAGGGTCACTGCAATCTGAGGAACTGTATTAAAAGGTCATAGCATCAGGAAGGTTGAAACCACTGTTCTAATTATTAAGCGCATCTATTTGTTTAATTATAGTCTAATGCATTCTTTTTAGTATTCTTATTTATTTCAATAGTATCTTAAGCCAGGGAATAATATTAATTTTGGTAAATTCTATGGGTTTAAATTCTACTTGACCTAAAATATTTTGTTGAGTGTCAGAAAAATTCTTGGAAAAGTCATGTAGAAACTTGTGTTTTCTGTAAAAATAAGTAAAGAATAAATGATTGGTTGATCTGTAGTGTCCTTCTATCTTCAGAGAGTGGTCTCAATTGGCTCACAGAAACCCTTCACCTATGCAGTCCCTTGACTTCTGGGGATATCCCAAATTTAAAAGAGTGGATGGCTGAGACCTGGGTGAACTTGGCCATGGTGGACTACCCTTATGAAGCCAACTTTTTACAGCCCTTGCCTGCTTGGCCTATCAAGGTAACACAAAAGAGTCTTCTAATTTTTTTTTCTTATAAAATATTTTTCTTTTTTTTTTTTGATATGCGTTCTCTGACTTTCGACATCAGGAAAAAATCTCAATTACGTAGGGACTGCGTAAAATTAATGATTGTGGGCTGGAATCCTGGGTTCTACAGCTCTCTGATTATGTGACCTTAGGCATGTTAGCTATGTCTTCTAACCTCAGTTTTCTCATTTGAGAACTGGAAATAAATCTCATCAGTTACAGCATTATAGGAATAAGAAGGAAGACCAACAGTTGGTGCTAATGGAATAACTACTATGTGCCAAATTCTGGGCTGTACTTGGCGTGTGTCATATATCCCGTCTTTGTGATATCTGCATCATGCCTAGATCCATGCAATACATTAACTTAGCTGAATAAGTGGTAGATTTTGCCATTGTGCTTTGATTTGGTGAGCTGTTAAAGGCATTCTAAATGCTACACGTACCATAAATGATGATCCACAAACCAAACAGCAGCATGTAAGGGAATCTTCTCATGTGCTGGTAGTGAGGGAGAGGCCTGGAACTGTTGCTAATCACTCTGGGATCCTATATAAGGGGTTCTTCTTCTCCAAGACTCCGTCTTCCTCTGTACAATGGCACAAAAGTAAATGCATGGAGTTCTGCTGAGGACTATGTAAAATGTTAGATTCGGAGGTACTTGGGAGTAGTAAATTAGGATAATTTTACGTTCCTTTTCCAGTGTGAAAACATAGCACACTCATTTTTCAATTTTTCACAATGCTGAAGTTCTTTTCATGGTAAAAGTATTTATTACAGTTGCTTGTCTTTAAATATTCCTTTGTTAAGAATGTCTCTCTTAGTTTGAAAACGAAAGCCTGGCTGAATCCCTTTAATAGGAAACATCTAGTTTCTGTTGGAGTTATTTACTTCATGTCCAGTGTTTTCAACAAAAACAGGAAATTAAATATCTTTTTTTTGTGAGTGTCAGCTCAATTGTCACTTTTTAATTTGTCTTTTGAATTTCACACATTTGTTTACATTGCCCACTGTTAACAGAAGCTACATACCCGTGGGGAAATAATTATAGAGTTGGTATGTAGGACGCAGGAAGAGGAGAAGAGGAAAATAGAAAACCCTTCTGCAGTATGCATAAAGACCACTGGGCCTCTTCTCAGCTTTTAAAGAGCATTGTTGGCTTTTTTTTTTTTAAAGAATTTTTAGGTTAACATACAAAGTAATAGGTTTCATTATGAGATTTTTGTGTAGAGTAAGGGTCATTGTTCTTCGTATGAAGTTACCCACCTCCTCCATTGTTTTCTCCCATTCTCTGTTCTACTGTTGCTGGTTCCTCTCCTTTTTCCAAACAGACACCTTCAGCTTTCATGTCATATGTATTCTCTGACTCTCTAGTTCCACTTGCCTTTGTTAAGGTCTTGGCCTCTCCTCTCATGATCCCTTTTTTGGTTTTAAGACACACACACACACACACACACACACACACACACACACACACACACACACCTTTACATCTGTGTTTCATATATGAGAGAAAACATGGAGCACATTTCTGAGTTTAATTTATTACTCTAAACATGACTCCCAGGGACTGGAGAGATGGCTCTGCAGTTAAGAGCACTGACCGCTTTTCTGGAAGACCTGGGTTCAATTCTCAGTACCTACATGGCAGCTCACAACTGTCTGTAACTCCCGTTTCAGGGGATCTGACACCTATACCAGACATGCATGTGGTGCATAGATATACATGCAGGCAAAACACTTATATGCATAAAATAAGATATAAAATAAAAAATGACTCCCTGTTCTATTCAGTTTCCTGGAATGTCATGATTTCATTTTTTCCTGAATAGAATTGTGTATTATTTATAAATGCCACGTTTTTTCTACCATTCTTCTGTTGATGGGCATGTAAGCAGGTTCATTTTTCTAGACATTATGAATAGGGTAGCAATTAATAGGAATGTACATGTATCTTTGTGGTATACTGCCTTAGCATCTTTCGGATATTTAGCCCAGAGCGATAGAGCCGTAGGTCTATTTTGGGTGGCTTCCTTACTGATTTTCCTAGTGTCTGTGTTAGTTTCTGTTCTTGCCAGTAGTATATAAGAGTTCCTCCGTCCCCACATCCTCACCAGCATTTGTTGTCATTTGGTCTCTTGATGACAGCCATTTGGTCTGGGGCGAAATGAAATCTCAAAGCAGTTTTAATTTGCATTTTCTTGATGACTGAGGACGTCAATACTTTTTCAAGTGTTTATTGGCCATTTGTCTTTCTTTCTTTCTTTCTTTCTCTTTCTCTCTCCCTCCATACCCTCTTCCTTTCTTCCTCCTCTTCTTCCCTTCTACCTCTTTCTTTGCTTTAGTGTGCATGCCTTCTTTCACCTCCAATTTTGTTAGCTTAATAACCTCTCTCTTTTCTTTGTCCAGTTTGGCTAGGTGTTTTGTCAATCTGGTTTATATTTTTTTCTCTAAGAATCAAATCTTGATTGATTCTGAGCTTTTCTTTTACTCTCTCTCTCTCTCTCTCTCTCTCTCTCTCTCTCTCTCTATATATATATATATATATATATATATATGCATTTATATATAATATATTATATATATAGCTTAATTTGAAAGTTTTAAATCCACAGAACATTGGTAAAAATAGTTCCATAAAAGTTGATATGCCTTCAGCATGACCAAACAACTATTAACATTTCCAGTATTTTTTATTATATTTTTTATTTTTTGAGACTATAATTTATCATTTCCCTCTTTCCCTTCCCTCTTTTCAACTTCTCCCATGTATTCCCCTCTTTGCTCTCTCAAATTCATGGCCTTTTCTTCACTTGTTGTTGTTGGGGTGTGTGTGTGTGTGTGTGTGTGTGTGTGTGTGTGTGTGTGTGTGTGTGTATGTTCCTAAATATATAAACATAATGTTTTCAGGGCTGACCATTTCATTTTGGATAACCAATTGGTATGCTTTTCTCTGTTGAAGACTATTTCTCTTGCTCTCAGTATTTGTTTTTCCGTCCTTCCTTGTGACACACACACACACACACACACACACACGAGCCATTTGATTTCTTCTTTTGAAGTGTGCTAGTTACTTTTCTTATTGCTGTGACTAAATCCCTGACAAGAAGCAATGTAACTAAGGAGGGCTGTATTTCGCCTTACATTCAAGGGGATATAGTTCATCATGGAGACACGGCAGCGGCTGGTCACACGGCATCTTCACCAGGAAGCTCTCATTCTCCTTTTTAATTCAGTGTAGACCCCAGCCTCTGGGATGGTGCTGCTTGTATTTAAAGTGGACCTTTATCGGGGACTAGGGGGGTCCAGCCCCTCGATAGTCCCCTCCCAGGGTCCGGGAAGAATCTACTACCAGCTGATAGTTAATCTTTGATGAAAAGAAATGAATCTATGTACACGAGACTCCTAGTTCATACACTTTATTAATTCTATGGTAGTTCTCTCTCTACACAGCTTCTATTCTTCTCTCATGTCTAGCTCCTTTCTTGTTTGATTTCTCTATATTTATCTACTCTCCCCCTCTAGGTTCTATCTTAATTCCTTCATCTAGTTCTGTCCCTTCTAGGTTCTCATCTATCTAGTTCTTTCCCCTATCAGCTCCTCTTCTGTCTCCTTCTCTCTCATCTGGCTCTTCCTCATCTTGTTCTTCTCCATCGGGCTCTTCCTCAGCTTCCATCTCGTTCCTCTAGTCCTCTCTTTTAGCCCTTCAATCTAGTTCTTCCCCATCTCAGTTCGTTCCTCTCAAGTTCTTACCCATCTAGTTCTTCCATTCTCTTTTCTCTTCTCTCCCTCTGCCCTGGAAGTCCCGGTATATAAAGGGAGGGTCCAAGCTAAATTGTGTAAAGCTATTAACGCCCACCTCTCTTAGGCCGTGTTTCCTTGTGGAATTTACCTTAAGTCAGGAGACTTGCCTGTGGGCTGCTATCATTGTTAGTCCTTGAAAGTTGGATGCCCCCCTGGGTGGTGTCTCCTTGTGGAATTTAAATCAGAAGACTTGCAAGTGGGCTGTTATCATTGTTATCCTCGGAAGTTGGGCGCCCACCTGGGTGGTGTTTCCTGTAGTCCTTGAAAGTGGCTAAGGGAGATAATCTGATTCAGAGAAAGCCTTTCCTGAGGCTGTTCTCCAAATACCTGGAATGTGTATGTCCAGAGAGTGATCAGTCCACACTATTAGTCCTTCTTAGGGAAAAGTCAATTGGGAAAACTACGAAGGCACACATGATTTTCATAACAGAATACAGCTGATATATAACAAGCCAAGTAACACCAAAAGCTCCTTGGGATTTGGCTTCCTCTGGAGAAATTCCTTGATCCCTCCAGGTAGTGACTTTGCCATAACCAGCTGAGTTCTTATGATATATTCCTGCGGCCTGCAGCAGACCTTCTTTTTTCAGTGAAACCTTTCTGGAAGCACCTCCTATCCCTAGCCAAAGATTTGTTTCCATGGTGATTCTAGACCTAATTAAGGTGACAATGAAGATAAACCTATAAGATGAATTGCTAAATGGTCTTATTAATAAAAAACCTGGAGCCAGATATTGGGGTAAAAACTGAGAGATCAGGGAAGCAGAAAGAAACCAGCCACTAGTGGTTCTCACCACTAGAAATCCTCAGCCAAAGAGAGACCTACTTCCCGTATACCCACACCTATGTGCCTTTCTGTCCCTGCCCTCTTACTTCCTCTCTCCGCCCAGGTACATCACTTCCTGTCTGTCTGTACATACCTCCAGACCCCTATGGATAACTAGTGCTGGGATTAAAGGCTTGTGCCACCACACCTGACTCTGTTCCCAATGTGTCCCTGAACTCACAGAGATCCAGATGAATCTCTGCCTCCGAATGCTAGAATTAAAGACGTGTGCTACCTGACTTCTATGTTTAGTATAGTGGCTAGCTTTTTTCCTCTGATCTTCAGATAAGCTTTATTGGGGTGCACAAATAAAATATCACCACATAAACCACCACAGATGATTGTCTGTATTTCATTGGCATATGTAATAACCGCCTTCTTTCACCTCCAATTTTGTTAGCTTAATAACCCTCTCTCTTTTCTTTGTCCAGTTTGGCTAGGTGTTTTGTCAATCTGGTTTATATTTTTTTTCTCTAAGAATCAACCCTTGATTGATTCTATGAGTTTTTCTTTTAGTGTCCATTTCATTAATTCCTGCCCTGATCTTTATTATATCTTGCTATCTGCTGCTTTAGGATTTGTAATACTCTCGTTTTTCTAATACTTAAGGTATGCCGTTACATTATTTGAGATATTTCTGATTTTAAAACATAAGCTCTTGTGTAGGACCACCTAGAACTGCCTTAGTTATATCCTGAAGGTTCTGGTTAAGTTGTGTTTTCTTTTTCATTTGATTCTAGTCATCCACCCACTAGTCATCCACAAGTATAATGTTCTCCCTCTATGTATTTGTGTAGTTTCTCTTGCTATTGATTTCTAGTTTTACTGCACTATGATCTGGTAATATGTAAGAAATTATTTTGAATCTTTAATATTCACTAAGATTGGGTCTGAAGCCTAGAAAATGGTACTTTTAGAGAAGATTTCATGGGAGGTAAGAACACTGTATTTGTTAGATGGAATAGTCTATAAATTTATGTTAAGTCCATCTAATCGGTGGTGTAATTGAACTCTGAGGCTTCTTTGGTACTTTTTAGTTTGGAGAGGCTGTCTCAACATGGGGGGCGCAAGAGAGATGGCTCTGTGATTAAGAATGCGTATTGCGCCGGGCGGTGGTGGCGCACGCCTTTAATCCCAGCACTCGGGAGGCAGAGGCGGGAGGATCTCTGTGAGTTCGAGGCCAGCCTGGTCTACAGAGTGAGATCCAGGAAAGGCGCAAAGCTACACAGAGAAACCCTGTCTCGAAAAACCAAAAAAAAAAAAAAAAATGCGTATTGCTACATCAAACCATTCAAGATGTAGAAATGTAGAAATACACTTTGTTCCTAATGATCATGAGACTGAAAATGGCATAACTATTCTAGAATGAGGTGGAAAGTGAAAAATCATTTCGGGTAAGTACAGAAATAAAAAATGAGTGAGATGAAGGAGAGAAACGAGGAAGGGAAAAAATAGAGGGAAAGTAAAGTTAAATCAAAGAATGGAAAATGAAGTAATGGAGAAAAATGTCATGGTGGGAAGAGAAAAGGGCAAGAGCCTTGTGACAAGAACAGGATGAAGGGAACAAAGGGGAAAAACAGGAAGAGGTTTTCCAATAACAAAAAAGTTTAAACAAAACAAAATTAAGTAAATATAAGAAGGGAAATAAAAATTTTAAAAATTAGAATGTTTTTCAAAAACAAAAAGTAAAATTCAGAGTATACTGAAAGTAGAGAGTAAGGGAAGAAGGAAGCATGGCAGCAAAAAGTGACAGAAACTATGGAAAAGAAAAAATATTGTCCAATAGTGAAAACAAGTAGATAAATATAAGAAAGGAATAACAAAAGCTGTAAAAATGCAGTGAAGTAATAATTGCACTGAAAATGAACAAAAGGAAAACCACAAAGATAAACACAACAACAGAAAAAAAGAGAGAGAATGCAAACAAAAAACAATTAGAAAAAAAGATGAAATATTGGATGTTATGTGGTGAGATCCTGTCTTAAAAAAAAAAAAGTAATAAGGCAGTGTGTGGTGGCCCATGTTTGTAATCCCATTGTCAAGGAAGTGGAAACAGGTGACCCCCTGGCTTGATGACAAGCCTTGATGAGTCCCAGGCAATGAAACAAGGTGGATAACACCAAAGGAATGACACCCAAGGTTGCCCTTTGACCTACACTTACACATGTACGTCCACATGCATGCACGAATACGTGTGCAAATGAAATTTTCAAAAATTTTGCATTCTTATAAAAATACAGTCCTTCACTCAGCAAAGATTTAGTTATTAGAGACTTTGCTAAGCACTGAGGGAGACATTCTGAAATCAGAGGCAAGCACGAGAGTATTATAGAGGCTGGGATCAAAACAGGTACAGAGTGCAGTGAAGCACAGGGAGGGGCGTGGTCTAGCTCTTCCAGCCTGGGAAACACATGCAGGGATGACCTCAGAAAGGAGGGGGTAGTTCCGGTGGGTGTTAGAAAGGATGAGTTGGCCAGCCATTCGTAGATTTAATGAGTGGGCAAAGAGATGTGTGGAAAGAGGGAAAGCACGTGGTGTGGTAGAGAATGATTTTACTGGACACTGGAGCAAAGGCATTGAAGAAGGAGCTAAAAGAGATGGGGAGCACTTTGCATGCCATGCATTTGCATGCCATTCATTTGGCATTTATTTCGCTACCCTATGGAAAATGTTAAAGTTTTTTTTCCTTGAGAGAGGGAGTTATTCTTCAGTGGTAGAAATTGTTAAGCGATGTATTAAGATGTTTATCAATGTTTTATGATAAAATTGAGATACTAGTTCTTCTTTGTTATTAAACTAATTTTCTATTCATATCTGATTCTTCCCATGTTTTCCTCCTAGGTAGTGTGCCAGTATTTGGAAAATTCTAATGTATCTGATACAGTGCTCCTGCAGAATATTTTCCAAGCTCTGAATGTATATTATAATTATTCAGGCCAAGCAAAATGCCTGAATATTTCACAAACAGCTACTAGCAGACTAGGCTCCATGGGCTGGAGCTATCAGGTGAGCATGCATGACTTCCCCGACTCCTTTGCTTTTTGCTGGTACCTTTGCTTTTTACTGGTACAATTGCATGGAATGCTATTGCTAACTGGAGGTCCAGCCTCCAGGCAGCACTAGGGTATGCAAAAATATCCACGAATGCAGTGAGGGCTAAACCTTTTCTATCTGAAGGAAACACTCACTTTCTGATGGTAACTTTCTCTTTTACTTCATCTTAAAAAATCTTCTCTCTGAAAGTCTGTCACCACACAACCACATCTCTTTACATACAGCTATATATCTCTCTTTACACATAAACATCTCAAAATCTTTCTGAAAATCTTTTCATCTCCACATAGCTATGTTCTTTACATACAGCTATATATCTCTCTTTACATAATACATCTCTCTCCTGCACATCTCTTTTTTTATATAGCTCCATATCTCTCTTCTACACACATTTCTTCTCTCTACTCTGTTACATTCCTTCATATATTACTGCATCATTCATTCACTCTCTCACTCATTCACTCTCTCACCTTTTTCTTCGCATTCAGCTACATCTCTCTTTCAGCACATACATACACACACACCTCTCTCTCACACTCACTACCCTCTAACAGCCAGAGTCTGGGCAATTATATGTTGCATTTTCAGGGTCCAACCCATTCTCATAACACATAAGTCACCCAGTTTTTCTCAGGCTAGGGAGATCACACTGACCAGCCAGTGAGTAACACTTGGCTGTGCATGTAGCTCTTTCCTAGACAGAAAGTACCATTGAAATTCAGGACTTAAAAATAACAGTTAGTTGGCTGAACCTTGGGATTGGGAGTATGTGCAGAAAGTCCATTACTGAAGAGGGTTATGTCTACCAAAGTTGCTTCAAGTCTGACTTTGATTCGGCAATAAACACCTGGGAGTTTGTCCTGTGTATTCCTCTCCAGAGGCAGCCAGTTTGCTTTGAATTTGTTCTGAAGTCTAAAATTGGCTTTCTTTGTGACTGAGAATACTGTTACTTTCCTATGTCAGTTATGAAAAATATTCTGGTATTATTTCTATTCGTCAGAATTGTACAGCTTAAGCAGAAATCATATTCCTGACCATCCACAGCTATGTGTACCCAAAGATGGATTATTTTCTTGAGATAAACACACAGGCAGTGGGAAAAAATACCCAAAGCAATTCTTAAGGAAAAAATGCAGTGGCACATAAGAGAAATTACAGACAGTGACCCATGGCCTTGCCAAGTGGGGCTCCCCATCAGAGAGTTATTTGTCTGGTGGGTCGACCTGTTGAATACTAGTTGTCACCTGCTGTATACTCCCACAGCCTCTGGTAAAGCCATTGCTACTAACAACTCTCAGCATAATATACTACCACTCATTTTGCTATCTAACTTTCAACCAAGTCTGGCCACTGTGAAATTGCAGCATGACCCTCTCCCTCCTTCTCCTCCCTCCCTCCCTCCCTCCCTCCCTTCCTTCCTTCCTTCCATCCATCATCAGCAAATATATAATGAATGATCATTGATCACAATCTCTTATGTTTCAAATATATAAAAATAAATAATTTCTATGATTTTACCATAAAATGCAGCCTGATGAGAAAGACAGATAAATTAGCACTGTAATAGACCTAGACAAGTCCTGGAAAGGAGGAACTGTGTGGCTGTATGAAAGAAGGGGAGTTTAACTCGACTCTGAGTCTCCATTCTGTCACCTGCACAGTAAGATGGCCAGGGTTGTCCTGAAGGTTAACTATGATCAAAGTCATGAAAGAAGGCTCTTTGCAGAAGAAACAAAGAAAGAGAGAAAGGAAGGAAGGAAGGGAGGGAGGGAGGAAGGAAGGAAAAAGGAAGGAAGAAAACAGTACTAACTTCTGTGAATTTTCAGCCATGTCTTTTTATGAGAAATAAGGGGTTGTGTGGCAGGGAAGTTGGGGGTGGGGTGGGGGCTGGGGCTTGATTACAAGTTCATACCCTAGTTCTATGACATAGTAGCTGAATACATTGGCATCATTTATTCTCATTTCACCACGTTTTCCCTTTGTTTCCTTTCCTGCTTTCCTTTTCAGTCCTGCACAGAAATGGTCATGCCCTTTTGTACCAATGGTGTCGATGACATGTTTGAACCTTATCTGTGGGACTTGGAGAAATTTTCCAATGAATGCTTTCAGCAGTGGGGTGTGAAACCACAGCCTCATTGGATAACTACCTTGTATGGTGGCAAAAACATCAGTTCACACTCGAACATCATTTTCAGGTGAGCTTGTTGGTTGATGGAGACACTTGCAGAATGGCTGAGAAAATACAACTAGGAAAATGCTAGGTAGTAAAGTAACATAGAATACAATAGTGATGCCATTCCACTTTGCTACTGAGCACAGACACAGATAGGTATTCGGTAAGCATTTGGTGAGTAGCTGAGGACTTGATAAATAGTAGCTGTTACAGTCCTACTTTGGCAATTCTTTTCAGTGCATGGTGGTTTTCTTGGGAGGATTTGTATTTTCTAAAACCCATAGATTATTTCTCCAGTGATGATTCTCAGTTATTTAAGTATAAATTCAGAAGAGACCCCATGAAGAACTGGTTAACTAACATCATTTCCCAGGCAAATTAACTATTGCCAGTGATTAAGTGAGGCTGGTTGTTGGGAATTTTACCCAGGAAAATAGTATATAGATTTAGATTTCCCATGACTGGTGTAGCTTTCCTGTGTCTGAACTGAGAAATTCAAGTCCATGTGCAGGCGGGGTCTCTCAGCAACTCCAAACACTGTTGCTAAGTCACCAGGTGCTTCAGATGACCTTTAAATCAGATGCAGTTTGCTCCTCATGTGGCTGCAGGGACTTCTTTGTCTTGCAAATACTGGAGCATTTCCTGTCTGGGTTGAGCTTATTGGAAAATGAAAAAAGGAGAAATTTGTATACTTAAGAGAATGCATCTTCTGTGTGGTTTATGTGAACATTTGTCCTGTATTATGACTTCTGTTGGGCATGGGAGTTTTCCTCTTTGCTTTACTTGTAGTCAAACAAACAAAAGTATATACTTAGAGTAATTGTTTCCCTAGAATTCTACATTAACCTGCAGTTAAAATACTACTTTTTTTTAAAGTCTAAGTATATAATAATAGGACAGGGAATTTAAAATTGTATTTCAAATACAGATATAGTCAATATACCTGAATATTTATTTTATACATTTGTCTAGAAAGAATTGGTTGATGGGGTTGAGAGAGAGTTCAATGTGGAAAATATTTCCTGTGCAAGTGAGAGGATCTGAATTCAGATCCTCGGCACCACATAAAACTGGGCATGGTGGTGCATGCCCATTACCCTAGTTGTGGTGGGGCTGGGTTGGTATAGGACACATCTCTGGTTAGTCAGTCTAGCCAAAATAGGGCACTTCAGGTTCAACGAGAGAGCCTGTCTCAAAAGAGTAAGGAGAGGTACAGAAGAAGAGCCCTAACATTGACTTCTGGCCTCTGCACACATAGGCTCATGCCCCCCACACACACATGTTACACACATGCTCTTGCCACAACACTCATGTACACATGTTGATTGAATTAATGCTTTGACTAAATTTCTGAGAAATACTTCACGTCTATTTTTATTATTATTTTATCCCTTGGTGACATTAATGTTTCTCATCCTTGTATAATACGATAGTATTATAACAATTTGGTGTTTGTAGTGTTTTATACTTTGTGCTATATATAGTATATATAGTTAGTGCCACATATATGACTTAGTTTGGGCCTCTCAATTTTTGTAAATTTTTTTCTTTTTCTATAGTACACATGAGAATTGAGGTTCTCATAGGTCCTTACTGAAAATTATGCACGTAGTGAGGATATGAAACTTGTATTTGCTGACTTGGTTCATTGTTCTTCTCACTGCTACTCACAGCTAAAGGCATGCGATTGCACCAACGCGCATGCTCACATGCAAGGGCATAAGGGTAGGGTAGAGGAGGTAAGTATGGGTTGAGATTAAAAAAACACTAAAGACTTTTCAAAAAAGCTATGTGGAAACTTACTACTATAAAAGCTTACACACACACACACACACACACACACACACACACACACACAAAATAATAATTAAGAGTTTCCCTATATTTGGGCAACAATGCCCCTGCTACACGTCAAAGTCTAACTAATAAAAAGCCCAATGCCAGGAATTAGTTAATTATTTTGGAGTTGTTGGCGAGGTCCCACAGACCCCCCAAACATTAACAGGCTATTGCCATCGCTCTTGGTTACCCTCCAGAACTTGATGGTAAGATACCACATACTTGAGTAATAGAACATGGCAAAATCAAGCTGTATGGACCTGGAAGCTTCATCCCTACTGGCTAGCCATCATAATGCTGGAAGGTGCTATACAAGCCACTAGAGGAAGAAAGCCATCATCAGTCATACCTGGCTATGAACCCTGTGAGCTACAGTGATGCCTGGGTAGGCAGGACATGCCCAATGGTGTAATGGTGGCACAAACATCATGGGAGTTACCAGCCACTTTCTCATTGGATTTAAGGCCGATTCCACAAGGTGAAACCCATACCCAGCACCATTATCAGCTAAGAACCTATGTTAGACAGGTCATAGACCCTCAGGAAGAACCTACTACTGCTAAATAGACATCATATTAAACCAACTCCTGATGACTTGTCATATCATTATTCCCATAGATTAATGTGTCTCTCAACTCTTATCTAAGTATATTCCTTTCAATAGGAAGACATTTTATGTTCTCAAATTGGGAAGGATAACACATATATGGTTTTTTGAGAGAAGGTTTCATGTAGTATAGACTTACATTGAACTTGTTATGTAACTACGGAAAACCTTGAATTCCTGACCCTCCTTCTTCCACTCTTCCAGTGCTGGTATGCAGGTGTGTGCAACCATGCCCAGCAATAACCTTTTTAAGGTAGTATTTTGAAGGAAGCTCTTTGAATCTCTCCATCAACTTATCTAGTCACTGTCCCTTGCAGCTACTAAAAGCCAGACAGAAAAACACCTACAGGGGTCTATGTACACAGGTATTTTCCAGTGACAACCACAATGTAAAATTTAAGAGTATTTTTAGTACTTCTAGAACTTGGGCTACATGGTACCTGTGAAGTCTGCACAATGAAGACTGGGGAGTGCAGGCAAGGAGAAGGGAGTTATTCATGGGTTGATACCTTTATTAGGACCAAAAGGGGAAAAAAGTGATCATCTTAATAGAAAATTTCCCAAATGATATATACAGGTGGCCTAACAATACATGAAAAGATGATCAATATCAGTTGGGTCTGTGTGTGAAAATCAAGACCACAGTGAAGACTGACATGTAGTGGTAAAGTTCTCCTCTAATCCCAACTTAAATCCACAATGAAAATGAATCCAACTCCTATGTTGCTAATGGTAGTATAAAATAGTGAAGCTGCTTTGGAAAATTTTTTGGCAGTTCATGAAGAAGTTAAGTGGTATCACATGTCTTAGAAATTCTATACTCGGGTATACTCAGAGGAAATTAAGATGTACATATACATGAAACCTTGAAAGTGATAGTGTTCAAATGAGTAATGCTCACAAGATCCAAAAGGTAGAAGAAACACTATTAAGGTCTATTAATTTTTCTTTTTCCCCTCATCTGCAGCAACGGTGACTTAGACCCGTGGTCAGGTGGTGGAGTGAACAAAGACATTTCAGATACCCTGGTGGCTGTCTACATCCCCCAAGCGGCCCACCATTTAGATCTTCGAGCCAACACTGCCTTTGATCCTTCCGCTGTGCTGTCATCTCGCTTACTGGAAGTTAAATACATGAAGACATGGATCGAAGATTTCTACAGAAATGCCAAATGGCAGCCCTGAGAAACTTTTAAGGAATAATTTTTTACTTTCTTCTTTTATGTTCACTAAACTCACATACCCATTCACTTTGATTTTTTTATATGTAATTACTTTCCCTCATTTGTCATTGTATTTGTTGGGCCAAGGTCAAGACAGAAGAGCGTGACAGGGGTGGGCGCAGCCATCCCACCCAGGTGACTGCTCCGTCCTCACTGCCTTTGTGCCATCTCCAGGAAGAATGCCATCCTGGCAGCTCTGATGTCATCAGAACTGGCATGGTTCCTGACTGTCTTTCACCAGAGGGAGAGCCACTTTTCTCCCAAGCGGGGATGTCTCCTCGGTTTTGAGATGGAAGTCTCTCTGGCCCATTGTAAGCCCCCATTCCTGCCACAAAAGGAAAAGCAGAAGCTGGATTAAAAACGCTGCAGCTGCAGCTGGTGGGCTGTGTGATGCCAGTCCAGGAAAGGGCCGCTTCCTGTGAGCTCCATGACTGCCTTTGAACTGCAATAAAGAACAGGGCAGACCTACCTGTGTGTTGCTCCCATCTCGTCCAGCTGTTGGGAAGGCAGTGTGCCTGGGCTGGCTGCTTTCGGGAAGTCCTTTCTTTTTCTCTTTCCCCTTGGCAGCCTTCCTTAGTTCTGGGATATTTGCCACCGTTCTGCAGCCAGGAGAAATCTGGCCTTCTCCTGCTCCGTTTCTCTTTGTTTCTAAGGTCAGTTTTGTGGTGATCTGGCTAAATTCTGTCAATTTAGGAACTCTGCTGCTTTTTACTTTAAAACTGAACAAATTCTGTTAATAAAAATCCTCTAAAAATTGACAAATAAGCTACTGAGAAAGTAGAATGTACTTCTGTTTATTTTGTAAAGGAATTTTATGTTCTAGTTACTGTTATTGCTATCTTTAGAGCCCTACGAGGCAGGGGCGGGGTGGGGGTGGGAGTGGGGACTTTCCTGTATGGCTTCCAGACAACAAGCAGAGTAATTCATGCAGGCAGCATATTTGACATTAATAAATGACGGACGGACCCTTCCCATTTCCAAGGGGTTGGAACTTTCAAGCAGTTCTCAAACTGAGACTTTTCTTCCAAAGGGCTCTTTGAGAGTAGGAAATACAGTTGAATCCACGCATTTCAGGGACACAAAGAGACTATGTTTCTTCTATGCAGAAAAATCCCTTCCACCTAATTTCTTATTATTTTCTCAGTCGTGTTCTGAGCGCATGTTTGGAAACATTTCTTGCTTTTTAAAAACTATTCCCAGACCTTCAACAAGGTTTTATTTTATTATTCCTTTTTTATTTTTGAGATTATAATACAATTACAACATTTCTCCTTTCCCTTTCCTCCCCCTAAACCCTCCCATATCCCCCTCCTTGCTCTCTTTTAAAATCATGGCCTCTTTTTTAAAAAAATTAATTATTATATATACACACACACACACATATATATTCCCAAATGCAACCTGCACAATCTGTATAATGTTACTTGTATGAATGTTTTCGGGGCTGACCATTTGGTATGGAGTAACCAACTGATGTGTTTTTCCCTGGGGAAGACTGTTTCTCCATCTCTCAGCTTTCCTTAGTTGTCTGTAGTTTTTTGCATAGGATGAGGCCTTGTGGGATTTTCCCATCCACTCTGGTGTCCTCCTTGTTCAACTCATGGTTATGCTTGGACAAGGTTTAATGGAGAACATTATTACTTTTATTTTAGGATTTTGGGCTTTTCCCCACAAAACCTTTTTACTAATTTGGAAGCTTTAAGATACTTTGACACTTGATGTTATCTTAGCTCTTAGGAGAAGTTAAAGTAGCAATTTCTGAAGAAATAAATTGCAAAACATTTTATACAAGTACAATTTGGTTCTACTTCTGTACACTCTGTATATATATAACAACAGCCTCGACCTATATTAACCTCCCTTATATGTTTGTTCTTAAGTTGAATTTTGAACAAATTGAAAGAGAATCAGAGTACAAAATAAGCCCTATTAAATCTTTATCCTAGGCGTGACAGATCCACCTGTAACCCCTGGTACTCAAGAAGCTCAGGCAGGAAGTTAGCTTTTGCCCAGGAGTTCAAAACCACTATAGACAACAAAGTGAGACTCCACTGTAGAAGCAAACAAACCAAAATTAATAATGTGACTGCTTTAACACATAGGGAATGGGAATCGCACAGAATTGGAGTGACTTTTTTAATCTCTTGTTACCTGAATTACCTAGATTCATTTGGAATAAATACATTTAGAGAACTTCTTTAGGGTATCTATAGAGCCAAGAGATTATAACTCTGGCCACAGAGCTAGTAAGTAGCAGTTGTATGATTCCATTGTTGAATAGTTCTACTTTTCCTTGTTTCCAAATTTGAGTTTCCTGCAGCAGAAAGGTACACCCCTCCCCCATTTCCACCCACTCCTTATCCTTCCACCTCAGCCTCTGTATTACTTTCTGCTTTTGTTGATGGACCCTCGCACTGAGTGAGTTTTCAGTCAGCCTTCCCAGCTCTGATTGCCCAGGGACTGGCTATGTAGCCAATGGTCATTTGCAAAGTCATTTCTACCTTGCTCTCTCTTCTCTCCTCTCTCCTCCTTCTCCCCTTTCCCTCTCTCTGAATGAGGGAAACGTGAGAATATAATTTTTTTTGTCTTGGTGCTTGATAAAATATGCACCCTCTCTGGGTGGTTTAAGCGGTTTAGGTACTTCTATAAAAGGAATCTTTTAATGCTAAAATTAATGTGATTATCTGAGTGTGAGAGGCCTATTCAAGGCTTAAAGAAAATCTGTTAGAATAGCTGAATGTATCTGCTTAATCCCCTCTCTCATGTGGCTGAACAATGCTCTGGGAAGCTATTGGTCCTTCTTTCTTCTAGTAAATGCCTGTCTCCAGAGGAAGGGGCTGTTTGCAGCTTTTGATAGCCTTATGTTTCACCTCCTCAGCTGCACAAAAACACAGGGGAAGCCTGGAGATGCCCAAAGCAGCGACAGATACCTGTCTCTTCTGAGGACCACGAGCAGAGCACGTGGTACAGGGTGGGCTTTTTCCTGGGCTTTCCTGGAAGTGAGGACTGTGGTTACCATGACGAATGGCATCTTGGAGAGCACTCTTCTCAGTAGTGGGTGGCAGAGCGTTTTCAGACATTTTAAATTCTCACACCTGAGTTGGAAGAAAGACTTAGCTACTCACTCCCTGTTAGGGTAGATGAGGAAGGGGAGCATGAGAAGGGAAAAAGTGACAGAGATATTATGAACTTGTCAAATTGCTCCATGAGTCGGTCACAGTTAAACATCGGCTCTCTCATTCATAAGCTAGAGATAAAACCTGTGACAGCACATACTTTTGAGAATTAAAATGGGGAATAAACATGAAAGCATAATGGTTAATCTGTGGCATTTATATGTGACATATGCTTTGGTTTTCATTTTATTTCATTTAAAATTTCAAATTCTTGTTCTAGAAATATACCTCCTTTTCAGATGTGTAATTTAATACAACAATTTTTTTTGAGTACATTTACGCTGAGCAAAATGCACAGATCTGGGAAACAGACTTGAATACCTGAAATTTAACAGGGTTACAGTCTTGTAAGGAGGAGGTAAGGAGATATAAAATATATCTTGAAAAATGCATATTGCAAGTGATTGGTATACTTTGGGTCATTACCAATAATAGCCAAGCCTTAGAATAGTGGTGGAACAGGATGCTTTGCTTGAGTTTCCTCATTCAGTCTGCAGCCATGGCAGGTAGTAACTCTTCTCATCCCGTTTCACAGGTGCCGCTGCTCAAGCACAGTCACTTTCTCCCAGGGTCATAGTTAGTAAGAGTTGGACCAAGATATTCAGTCCCTGTGACCTTAGTCTAACTTGCCCATCGTGCATCCCAAGTTAAGAAAGAATTCTTAGAGGAGGTGACCACAGGTAGGTTCCAGGGTAGCCTGGGAAGTGCAATGAGCACTCAGGAGGAAAGGCATTCCAGGAAGGAACAGCAAGGTTAAATTGCATTGTCAGAGAAGCGCTTGTGTGGGGAGCAGTGTGGAACAGTTTCAGATCAGCTGCATGGACATCTGGGGTGAGGTTGTGATGCTTAATAGCACTGTCAACTTGATTGGATTTAGACTCATCATGGAAACACAACTCTGGGTATGTCCATGAAGGTATTTCCAGAAAGCTTTAACGGAAGAGGCAAGGCACATTCTGAATGTGGGTGCCACCATTCCATGGGCCTGGGGGCCTGGGGCTGAATAAAAAGCAAAATGTCAGCTGAGCATAAATACTTGTCTCTCAGCTTTCTGTCTGTGTAAGCAATGTGATCAGTGGCCTTACCTCTGCTGCCCTGACTCCCCCACCATGATAGGCTGTACCCTCAAACTGAGCCAAAGCCAACCTACCCTTTCTCCCCTCTTTATCCCTCCCTCCTCCCTTCATCCCTCCCTCCCTCCTTTCCTTTGTTGCTTTTGTAGGTTGTCTTTATAGCAATGAAAAAGCATGCACAAGTTATAATTTCCCTCACTGACCTTGTGGAAGAAGTCAATAAAGTGTTTAATTAATAATCTGATTAACAGCTTATTTTTAATAACATGAATGGCAAGGTTGGAATGGTTGCCACCTTTATGGTGCAGAATCACAGAATATGCTCTCAATTGTAGATTCTAACCCTTTGAGGATGGGGCCTTTTAGGAGACAAAGGGCACAAATTTTCAAGAGGAAATTAGGCTGAGTACTTGTGAATGTTACCATCAAGATTATAAAGCAGTGTAACCAGACAACCCAGGAGTACTTGTGCATTTTAGGTGAATGATAGAGTTGATGTGAACATTAAATGAGAATTACAGAATCATCTTGAGATGCATTTAGAGAAAGTGGTGAGTTGAAAGGGGGAGAAATGTAACTAGTAATTCCAGGAAATGGGAATAGAGTCCTTTGCTCAGGCTCCAGGAACTGTCAGACATGGCAGGTTTCTTCAGTGGTACTACGTATTGTGTGTTTCAGCTGAGGCCAAACCGGAAATCAGGCTTGCCTAGGAGGCAGAACTCAGAGATGTCTTTCCTTGTCTATTCCTTAGTTTCCATTGGCTATATAAGGAAGGCCCAGAAGGCTGGGGCTGGTTCTTGTTTTCATCAGACTGACAATGTGAAGGTCAGGCCAGGCAGGAGGAGAGGCAACTGGAACAGAGTGGGATTAACCAGGTAATGTGAGATGGATTCTGTGGTCTACCAGAAGGGATGAGAACCTTCTGAACTGTTTCCCTGGCCACACTTCTGGACAGTGAAATCCAGTTGGCATACTATACCAAAGATAGGTGTTTTACATTGCTCTATCGACTTCTTCTGGGGAGGTCTCAAAATATTTCAGACAGTTCCTAGGTTTGACACAAATTGGTCAAACTCTGGGGCTCAGATTCTGTTTCTTTTCTTTTTCTTTTTTTCTTTTTTTTTTTTATTTCACCCAAGCTACTCATCATCCATTGGAGACTCTCCATAGGGCTCATATGATGGCTGTGCCAAGAGCTGGAGACGGAAGATGCTATATTTTCCCAATGTGGCTTTTCTTGGAGGGCCCTGGCAGAGGCTTTCACATTCTTTCAGAAGCCTGAGAACTTAGTTTGCTCTCCTCTGCTCCCACCATTCCCTGCTGCTTGCTGCCAGTATTAATAACACACAGGAGGCTTCACATCAGCATGGGGGCTGTGAGGATAATTATGGAGTGATCCAGGACCAACCAGTAAATTACTCCATGACCTGGGAATTTAGCAGGTTACCAGCTTCCCTCAGGCCTGCTCACTTTATTGCCTGCCCCTCCTGCTGCACTGATATTCATTTGTCTCGTTTCTA